AACACGAGGGCCGGTGACGGTTGGCCGAAAAGTCCACGGAGAGGGGGTCAAAACTGACCTCGACTGACCGGCGCCTTATATGGGCTATATTACGAAAAAAAAACTTTTGCCGAACGACCTCCCCCCCCCCCCCCCTTAATATTTTGTGAGATGGTAGAAGATCGCCTAGGGGTGTCAGAAAAAAACTCGCCATGTCCGGAAAAAATCTGGAAATGGGCCAAAACTGACCAGTCGTATTTCTCTATATAATCTTTGTATTTTATGGGAAAAACAGAGGGTCATTTCAACGCGGAATTTAGGGTATAAACAGTGATAAACTGGTTAATGATGTTTGATTAAAATGTGTCGGAGATTTTATTCTCAATTTAAATATATTCGATGTTGTAATTTGTAAACTGTGCTGTAATCTTTAGGTTTATTAGTGTTACTTCGGTATTTGAAAAAAACTAAAAAAAAAAAAAAACAACAGCCCTGAATGACTTCCATGTCAAGGCTCTTGACCTTTGACCCGACACGCCCCCTTGTTTGAGATACGTGCCACACATACCCCGAACTTACTGTCCCCTGCGTACTCTCTAAACAGACGGAGACTCGTCTTGATGGTGCTTAAGGGACCAGAGGTCCACCGAGGATTCTCAAGTTCTGAAACTGTATTGGCACCTGGAGCTAATCGTTTCAGCGGTTGCTAGCGAAGGTTGATATTTTTCATGTAGGCCTACAGACATTTTTGAGCGTCTGCAGTGTAGGATAGTGGGGTAGGGAGGGGTGAAGGGAATTAACTTTGGTAAAACAACATCCGCAGAACCCATCTTTTATTTCTTGCAATGCCAGATAAAAATTAAAAGCCAAATTAAAGAGTAAAAAGCCAAAAAGTACCAAAACAAAATAATAAAAAAATAAAAACAACAACAAAAAAACCCCAATAAAAGCTTCAGAAATAGTTTAATTAAAATATCACACTGTAAAAAGTTTAAAAAAAAAATGAAATGAAATAGACACATTTAAAAAAAGAAATAAATGTCAAGCTAAATAAAAAAAAGGCGTAGGGGATTTTTAAAATCAAAAGCCGTTAAAAAATAAATAGTGGCATATTGCAGGTTTAAAATAAGATGAGATGCTCTTTGAAAAAGTGTTAACTCCCTTTGATATCAGATGCATGAATTTGTAAGAGAAAAATACTTTTAGCATCAGATATCAAGGGCAGTTTTTTTTTTTTATTAAGGTGTCCAGGTACAAAGTTCAGTAGTTGTCAGTACATTGTTGTAGTGACGATCGTACCCAGTCCAGTCGCCATTCCTTGGTCCAGCCTTGTCAAATAATTTTTGGTCAAGTCTGTTTCAATGTCCAGCTTTCACGGGTCACATTCATTACGTTAAGTCGTTAGATTGTGGAGCTAATTACATCAGATTATGGATTTAATTACAGTATAGTATGGAGCCAATTACATCCGATTATGGATTTAACTACAGCATATTATGGAGCTAATTACATCCGATAATGGATTTAACTATATCATATTGTGGAGCTAATTACATCAGATTATGGATTTAATTACATCATATTATGGAGCTAATTACATCCGATTATGGATTTAATTGCATCATATATGGTACATCAGATTACAGATTTAATTACATCATATTGTGGTGCTAATTACAACCGATTATGGATTTAACTACGGCATTTTATGGAGCTAATTACATCAGATTATGGAGTTAACTACAGCACACGGTGGAGCTAACTACGAAATATTATGGAGCTAATTACGGCAGGTCATGGAGCAGATTGCGGAGCTATCTATTAAATATTTTGGAGCTAACTACCAACGACTTAGGAGCTAACTTAAACTAAAGTGGACTTTAGAGCTAAGTAAATCAGATTGTGGAACTAAGATTGTAGAGCTAACTATCGACACAGTTTAAAGTATTCTTTTATGAATGAACAGTCATTGGATTAATAAAAAATAAAAGCATCAAACATTTATTAGACCTGATGGTCAATAGGGCAGGTGAAGTAGAGCTCGTATATTTCTGAATCTCGGCACTACACCTAGTAGCTTTTTGGTTTCATCTGTTTGAGTCGCGCGCCCAACATAATATAGGGTATGTCTGGAACACAACACAACGTTGTGAATCTAGGATGGCACACGGCTGATACTAAAACAGGACTCGAACTCAGACCTAACCGTCACATGCGCTAGCGTTTACCCACTGCATCATATGTAACTACACCTACACTTTGAAACATAACCTTAACCATCAACACTAAATCAAACACTAAGTCGGAACTTCAAAACAAAAAAAAATTGAGATAGAATCTGATTATTGTATTGGGTAATGCTGTCTTCAACACTTTTTCCTTCATTTATTTTGGTTAATTCTTTACATCGCAGTGACCTTTCTTTGGAGCTATGATACATTAAGGTATTCTAAATAAACCGAACATCGCTGCCCACTATATTCATGCAGCTTGCAAGGTTATCATCACAGTTGAATGCCAGATTTCTGCTGTCTTGTAGGTCACGTCCCACACCCTCCCCCACCCACTCACCCACACCTCCTCCCTCCCCACCCCCACAATATGTAAACAAGTGTTATCCAGGTGTGTGAACACGCATATCTCACACCTTTACTTGTAGGTAAATATAGACTGCAGGGTCACGAGGTGCAATTCTACAAGAACTAAGAACCCGTTTTGAAGGGCCATTCACTGAGACACAATCCAAGGCGACGATAGGAGGGGGCGGTGGTGGTGGTTAGGGGCGGGGGGGGGGCAGAAAGACCGGGAACGATTTCCGGTATGAGTGTTATGTTTACGGACCGTTATATATAGGTCTATATATAAATGTATACATTCATTCATATACAGATCTATGAAGCATCAATAGGGTTTTTTATAAGTTCCGCAAAAGTATCATTTATAAACTTTCTATTGGGGGGGGGGGGGGGGGGAGGGAGGGGTTGGCTTTAAAATGATGTTTACATTAAGCTGGAAACATACAAGACGACTTCAAAGAAAGGGAAGTTTCTATTTTGTGGGGTCATAGGTCATGTAAAAAAAAAAAAGAGTCACATAAAAATAAACCAAAGTTTAGACAAGTGACGTGCAGTAGAGTTCAGTTTTTAAAAAAACTTGAAGCAGACGATCCATCTTCGCTGACAAGGTCTGCCGTCGTGTCATGTCACTGCAGCTTGGCATTTTATTATAAGATTAACAGGGGCTTTAAACAGGAGAGTTGTTTTACAAGATGTGTAAAAATGTTGTGTCAGGCAAGATGTTGTGTCAGCAAAGATGCTGTGTTAGGATGTTTTATAACATGTTGTATCATAAGATGTTGTGTCATAAGATGTTGTGTCAGCTAAGATGTTGTGTCATAAGATGTTGTGTCAGCTAAGATGTTGTGTCATAAGATGTTAAGTCATAAGATGTTGTGTCATAAGATATTGTGTCATAAGATGTTGTGACATAAGATGTTGTGTTGTAAGATGTTGTGTCGTAAGATGTTGTGTCGTAAGATGTTGTGTCATAAGATGTTGTGTCATAAGATGTTGTGTCATAAGATGTTGTGTCATAAGATGTTGTGTCATAAGATGTTGTGTCATAAGATGTTGTGTCATAAGATGTTGTGTCATAAGATGTTGTGTCATAAGATGTTGTGTCATAAGATGTTGTGTCATAAGATGTTGTGTCATAAGATGTTGTGTCATAAGATGTTGTGTCATAAGATGTTGTGTCATAAGATGTTGTGTCATAAGATGTTGTGTCATAAGATGTTGTGTCATAAGATGTTGTGTCATAAGATGTTGTGTCATAAGATGTTGTGTCATAAGATGTTGTGTCATAAGATGTTGTGTCATAAGATGTTGTGTCATAAGATGTTGTGTCATAAGATGTTGTGTCATAAGATGTTGTGTCATAAGATGTTGTGTCATAAGATGTTGTGTCATAAGATGTTGTGTCATAAGATGTTGTGTCATAAGATGTTGTGTCGTAAGATGTTGTGTCATAAGATGTTGTGTCGTAAGATGTTGTGTCGTAAGATGTTGTGTCATAAGATGATGTGTCATAAGATGTTGTGTCGTAAGATGTTGTGTCATAAGATGTTGTGTCGTAAGATGTTGTGTCGTAAGATGTTGTGTCATAAGATGATGTGTCGTAAGATGTTGTGTCATAAGATGATGTGTCATAAGATGGTGTGTCATAGAAATGTTTATTTTTCTGGCTAATTCATTCATCTCGTCGTAGGTCAAAGGTCGTAATGTTTTGTACATGTGATGTCGCTTTATGAACGCGAGAGAGGGAAGCTTAGAACATGTAACAGACGTAGCTAGCCTGCTCCAGGTACAGTTTCAGTGTTTACCGGCTACAGATACAGCTTCACTGTTACGGCTACAGGTACAGCTAAAGTGTTACCGGCTAAAGTGTTACCGGCTAAAGTGTAACCGGCTAAAGTGTAACCGGCTAAATTGTAACCGGCTAAATTATAACCGGCTAAAGTGTAACTGGCTAAACGGGTTAATTTACTATTATAGCCTCGTTATTTACGCGTATTTTACAGTAGATGAGGAATTAAATCCCCAGCACCATGGGCCCCCAAAACAAAATTTGTTCCGCAATAAGTTAAGAAATATAGAATTACTTTTACATGATTAGTACATTTTGCTAGTAATTTCCGATTTATGAAATGAAAAACAACTAAGGGACACAATTTATAACTATGATGAGAAAATCATTAAACATGCACATAAATCAAAAAGAAAAAGAACTCAGTTAACTTGAGCATTATAGTTTCTTTTATTTTTCGAAAGGAAGTATTAGTTTTTTTTAATTATCAGTGTATATTTATCTTATTCATATTGCAAATATCAGTTGTATATAGTTTTATAGAACTGAAAACAATACCGTTCATAGATATTAATTTATTAGACTTGATAAATCTCATACAAAGCTTTTTAATTAATTTGAAAAATCATTTGTATTAGATCTTTGTATAAACTAAAATGGCGGCCACCAAGCGCTTCCAAGAGCTAAGCAAAAGAAAACAAGAAATCGAAAGTAACATAAAACAGTTTATGGACCTCCTAGAATCACAAAAAAGTGTTGGACTGAATGAACCATTGGTGGATGCAGAAGGTTTTCCAAGGTCTGACATTGATGTGTACTCATGTCGTCATGCCAGACACCAGATTTCCTGCCTTCAAAACGATCATATTTCAATCATGAAAGAAATTGAAGAAGAATTGATAAATATCCACCAAACAGCTCGTGCCAATAAGGCAGGCGAGTCTCTTAACACATGCACAATCACATCAGGAGATGAAATAATGGAAACAGAACGGATTCCATTTGCTTTAATTGACAGGGTGGACCAGGGCTCACCAGCTGCTCATGGGGGACTAGAAGTGGGGGATCAGTTGATAGAATTTGGATCAGTCATGTCTGAGAACTTTACCAATATGCAGTCAGTGGCTACAGTTGTACAGCATTCCAAAGATAAACCACTGAGAGTTGTTTTACAGCGGAATGGTCGTGTTTTTAATGTAAATATCACACCATCAACATGGAGTGGTCCTGGATTGTTAGGGTGCAATATTAAGCCATTGAATAAGTGAAACGGTCATTGTATGCTATGTTGGTGATTTTTTTGGTTTCTGTTGGGTACATTAATAATAATAAAAAGTCATGGGGAGAGACCTGTTTTTAAATCACTTGAGTTATCACTTAGCTCACCACTAAAGAGTGGACGAATGCAAGCTAGTGTCTATGTGAGATGAGAATGGTTTTGAATGATTTCACATGGGTTTAATTATTTAGCATCTTTTTAAAATTATTGTCTTAATGTACATGAATCGAATGATAGACATTTATCTTTTATATATTATTCATATCTCCTGATAAACTTACAACACATGTAGTTTTGCCTAGAATTATCTATTACCTGTTTAGATGTAATTCTGGTTGGTAGTATCTACTGGATACTCTGGGCTAATTTAGCATACATAGAATATACTTAAAAGTTTTCTGCAACTGACTCCTACACCTACCTAAAAGTACTAGAGACTATAGCTAATTTAGTTCACGTAAAGTATACTAAAATTTTTCTGAAAACTCCTGACTCCAACTCCTTGACTCATGTTGGCATAAGATTGGTTGCCATGTTATTTGATGAAAATGTTGCATGTTTGTTGGAAGGTTAGTCTGATGTTATGGTTAACCCACAAAATGAGAGAAAAGTGACCACATGGTATTATTTTGTACATACATTTAAAAAAAAATAAAGTCCTGGTTTAAAGCTGAAAAAAAAAAAAAAAAAAAAAAAAAAAAAAAAAATGTATAAGTAAACCATCTTTGATTATTATATATTTGATGTTGATGTACTTGTTTTAAATTGCAAATAAAAGTATTTAAAAAAAAAAAAAAAAAAAAAAAAAAAAAAAAGATTATTATATATGCAATTGATGTTCATTGTTCATGTCTTTGATGCTGTGTAAAAACTATCAAATATATTAATATTACTGATTTCAATGTTTAAAACAATTGAATTAATAAAAATAAAAAAAAAATCTACCCCCTCCTCTCTCCCCCTCTATCCACTTTACCCTCATACATGATAACCCCACAATCCCTTTAACTGTTCCAACCACCCCACCACCCACCGCAACATCAATATCCAGAACTTATTTAAAGTTCTAAATCTTGTCTCTTTTCCCTCATCTTTCACACTGCAACCTTTTGAAAACTCAATGCGACCACTACAACACCCTTCCAACTAGTCAACTTAAGTTGTTTCCCTACATAGAAAATGCTTCACTGTCCCATTGACCTTCTCTGAAAAATTTCCTTTCCTCTCCCCACCCAGACTTCTGACACTTTCTTTTGACCTTCACCCCTTTTACTGTCATCCTTTGCAATTTTTTATAATCAAATACATGACATCATGTAAATATTCATTATCTACATTTGCAAAACCTTTCGTTTTCATTTGGTGTTCAAAATTATGTTAAAAAATTGGATGTTGATGTACTTGTTTTAATTGCAAATAAAAGTATTTAAAAAAAAAATAATAAAAATAAATATAAGTAAACCATCTTAAATGAATGAAAGTAGGCTACAAGTAAGAAAGAAATATTATTGTAAATATGTATCAGTCCTCACAAGCCGATGATGAAAACTGTAATACTAAAGCGAACACACAACTGACGCTGAAAATTACATGTCTGAGGCAAAAAAAAACAACAAAAAAACAAGTTGTTTATAATTACATACATAACTTCATGTAAATATTTATTATGCACATTTGCAAAACCTTTCGCTTTCATTTGATGTTCGAAATTATATAAAGAATTTGATGTTGATGTACTTGTTTTAATTGCAAATAAAAGTATTAAAAAAATAAAAAAATAAATAAACAGCGTCGGATAAATTATAATCTGCGTTGATACGCATATTGTAAAAAAAAATAACATGCGGCGGCACTTTTTTTGCGTGCTTTTTACAACAATAAATGCTTTTCCAGTTGCATAATTAAAATTATATTTCTACATTAAAAAAATAAAATTTAAAAAAAAAAAAAAATGAAAAATGCTGTTCATCATAGAAATGTATTCGAATTGTATATGCAAGATTCTCTCTTCGTGCAATTATTTCACGACTCTTAACAAGGTATATGTTCATTTTAACCTGCTTGTAGTGCAACGCTCCTTGCTTGCGTGGAGCAACAGTTCGAGTGAAATAGTTAAAGCTCTAAACCTATTTCAAACTAAAAAAAAAAAAAATTAAAAAAAAAAGTTATGTTTAATATAACGAAAGACATATTTTCGACCCCTGTTTTCCAATGGATAACAGCCAGATACTCACCAGAGCTGGATGAAGTTATCGATGTCCCACGGACTCAAGTCTATTTAAATTATCTGCTTCTCTTTAATTCAACCTCTTGTATAGTTTTGTCATCTCAATGTCTTTTATGGGCTCCATACGCTGTATACCTAATAAGGGAGTATGGGTTGCGGAGAAGCCCATTTTTGGGATTTTTTTTCAATCGAGGTAACAATGAAATAAAGTTTGGAAACCTCTGGGTTCTTCTATGCAAAATTGTATTTGTTAAAAACAAAAAAGCTAAGATTCAGTTTCTAAGTTTAATTTATTTCACGCCACTAGTAATAATATTATGGTCTAGTGGTAGAGCGCAAGAAGAAAGTTTCGAGTTCGAATCCGATTCCATTCAATAGAACGTCTCCGAGTCCACCCAGCGTTAATGGGTACATGATACTCATTCGAGAAAACAAAGGCGGATGGGCATAGTGCTGACCACAGCATCCCTTCGTATGCCGGGGTCATTGGAACAGATTAACTCTACTTCATCTGCCTCATGTATCGTTGGCATAAACGGAAAAAGATGGTGAATAACAATATCAATATAAATGAAAATAATTCTGATTTTATTTATTTCGAATTTTGTCTAATTTAACAAATTGAATTGAAGGAAAATTTCAGCACAAAGGGAATTAATTTCCTGAGAATAAAGGGAGCTAATTTCCATGCATGGTTTAAAAAAAAAAAGGAGTGCTGTGCCCCTGTTTCATGATTGAGTTTAATCAAACTGCTTCAACACCTAACAAATCCATTCAATTGTTCTTGACGCCCAGCGGGAGGGTAATCTAAGGGCCTTGATCTACAGGATCGAGGTCATGTGTCGCCACTTGGCTGTTCTAAAGGGTTGACGTACTTTGATGTTGGAGATAAAAGTGGAGGAAATGAAAATGTTTGGGGCGAATTGAAATAGAGTTAAGAGTGGGTCGTATTTTGTTGTTGGATAATGACAGTTTTAGTTTGACAATCTGAGTTGATATTTTTAGGTTATAAATCTGTGTATAGGTTGTGTATTTTTAGGTTGTAGATTTGTATAGAGGTTGTATTTTACAAGCTTTTATTTAACTTGCTTCCTCTGTCGTCAGTCTGTCTGTCTAGATCGAAACGCCCGAGCGAGATTACGGGCACTCCTAACTGATAGATTCGTTTCAAAGTTGGCACGTTGGTCTCTAAAGTGTCATAATGTTCACATAGTCTCACCAAGTCAACATCTCTAAAAACGTCACGATGTCAGTAAAGTGTAACAGTGTAAAGAAAACACAGCAGTGTCACTGAGGAAACAAAGTCACGAATGTGTCATAATGTGAATAAAGCGTCACGTCTTCACTGGAGTGTCACGTCTTCACCCGAGTGTCACATTGTCACTGACACGTCAAGTCATTAAAGCGTTAGCTTCCATTATACAAAAATGGTCTGAAATTAGATGCTATCAGCTGACTGTACAGTTGGATTCGGCGAAACGGGACAAGTTTATTAAGGATGCGCAGTAAGGCAATGTCTGTTGAATGTGAAACAGAAGTAGAGGGAATGTCGAGGGCCCAACTTGAAGGAGTCGCCCACAACAAAGTAGATGGAGAGATATGTTTGCTTGACAAGGTGTCCGCAGTAACGACGACAATGACGACGATGGCGGTGATGATGGTGATGATGATGATGATGATGATGGTTATGATGATGATTAAGGCGAATGGGGCTAACAGTTGGAGTTGGGATTCGGGTCTAAATATTAACCTAGGGTTTAGAGACAGATTTAAGAATCCGGGTTATGGATCTGATTTTGATCTAGGTGTTTAAAAATTAGTGTGACGATAACAACGCATAAAATGTGTATATAAAAAGTATGCAAAAAAAGCTCTATTTCAAAGCATTTGAGAGTAAAGACTTATATTTTAAGAAAGATTATAAAAGGAATAGAAATAGCTAAGAAAATCAAATAAAAAAGATGAAGTAGATCCACACAAAACAAATTCGAGTCGGTTTTTTTTAAGCTTTAAGCTCGAGATTTAAGTTTAAACCATCCGACTGTTTGAAGATGTAATTAAGATCTTGTTTACCCCGTCAACCGTGACGCTTACACCTTAGGTGTAAGCAAACCCTCGCTTACACCAACGTTGGTGTTCCCGGCACCCCCGGGATTTATCAGAGGTCAGGCGATACTGCCTGCCCTGATATCTTGACGCTGGGGGATACAGCCGGGCTATACGGTGCTAATCCGGACCGAGGCTTGGATTACACGGTTAGGATTAGCTCGGATTAAGTTTGCCAGGTCTAAGGTGTCGGCCAAAAGTAAAGCACACATTTTTAAAAAAAAAATCTGGGATATTTTAATAGATTTACGAAGAAGTTTAGTTTAAGTAAATATTTGAAAGCTTGCGATTAAAGAATGCTGAGAAATAACTGAAATCAATGAAATGTATCTTCAGAGATGCTAGTTTTTAAAATTATTATTTTCTTGATTGTGTATGCGTATGCGTATGCGTATGCGTATGCGTATGCGTATGCGTATGCGTATGCGTATGTGTATGTGTATGTGTATGTGTATGTGTATGTGTATGTGTATGTGTATGTGTATGTGTATGTGTATGTGTATGTGTATGTGTATGTGTATGTGTATGTGTATGTGTATGTGTATGTGTATGTGTATGTGTATGTGTATGTGTATGTGTATGTGTATGTGTATGTGTATGTGTATGTGTATGTGTATGTGTATGTGTATGTGTATGTGTATGTGTGTGTGTGTGTGTGTGTGTGTATGTGTGTATGTGTGTATGTGTGTATGTGTGTATGTGTGTATGTGTGTATGTGTGTATGTGTGTATGTGTGTATGTGTGTATGTGTGTATGTGTGTATGTGTGTATGTGTGTATGTGTGTATGTGTGTATGTGTGTATGTGTGTATGTGTGTATGTCTTTATCTTTTTAAGTCTTTATGTGTGTGTGTGTATGTGTGTATGTGTGTGTATGTGTGTGTATGTGTGCATGTGAATGTGCGTGCGTGTATGTCTCTGTATTTGTTTATATTTAGGCGTAATTAGGATGACTTACTAAACCGTATTTCCCTTAAAGTAAGGTATACAAAAATGTGTTTTTTACTAGAACGTTTTTGGGATGTTCGAGTGAGGGGATAGGTTTTCAACCAATATCACTTGTCTTCGACGGAGTCGAGTTGAACCTAACCTACTGCACCCGAGTCTTTTAATTAATTACTGAATCTACTGCACCCCAAAGCGTCTGACCGTCAAGTCTTGTATTTAATTAACAAGCTTTGCAAACAACTGGATCATACTAATTCCTAAACTAATATATATATACATATATATATATATATATATATATATATATATATATATATATATATATATATATATATATATATATATATACATATATATATATATATATACATATATATATATA